CTCCCTCCACGTTATCCATGCCTTATTTTTTCTGTTACTAATTTCTTCATATTTCTCTCTATCGTCTTGTACAACAGACCCTGGATATATGAGCCTGCATTCACATGGTATATGCTGGTTATCCTATGCTGCAAATGTGACACCCTGGGTACATTAACATGTTCAAGTAATGCAACGCGATAAACTCTGGAGTTCTCTGAGCTGGAGTCAACTGTTCCCCAGCACAGTGTCTACACATTCACTTGGGACAGCAGCCCTGGGCTGGCAGCCGGTTTGTGGAGTCAGCCTCAGGCTCTGGGTGGTGGCACAGGGTGGCAGAAGGGCTGGCTGGGGTATGAGGATGCTGAACCTGTGGAGCCATGTGTCTAGGTGGCAGGCAGGAATCTGTCCCCCACCCGGTCACTGTCTACATGTGTGTTTTAGTGCAGTAAATGATTCTGCCATAAGATAGTACTATCCCTGACAGTACTAGCTGATGGTTGAGCTAATTAATTTACTGTACCCTAATACAGGCACGTGTAGCCTGTGATGCTGTACTGCAGAGCTAATTAGTCAACTGCAGTAAAGCACACGTGTAGATGTACCCCCTGACTGTCACAGGAAAATGCACGTGGTGTGTACTTTGATTTTTTTTCCACCTGCTGATTCTACATCAGGCTTTTCCCAGCTATGCCTCTGTATCCTCGAGTCACTCTCTCTCTCTCATTTGCTTTCTGCAATCAAAACCACATCACCTAGGAATGTGGTGTACCAGGGACATCCTTCTAAATGTCCTTTGCTAAATATTGAGGGCCAAAAAGTATAGAAATGGACTTATGATGGACCTTTGATATAGACCTTGTCTAGTAAACTCATGTTGTTTAGCCTTTATGCATGTTGTGCACAAATCTTAGATAGATTTCCCATACAAGTTGTTTCCTCATGCACCACTATCACTTTTATTGATACATGGTCATATGCACCTCCCATATCAATAAACACCAGGTGAAGATTTTTCTTGTTTCCTCTGTACCTCTCCATTTCAGCAAAGCTCACATCAATAATGTGTTTAGCTTGAATGCTAACTGATTATTACTTCCAATTTTGACACCTCAAACTTTGTTTGATGATCCCTTTCTGTAGTTTCATGGTATGGTTCATGAATGTTAGGCTTCTGTAATTGCCACCGTCTTGTACAACTTCTTTGTTCTTTAAAATCATGCACCATAAGCCCTTTCCCCATACATCTGGCACTTTCTCTCATAATTTGATCCATTAAAGAACTTGGTAAGGAAACTTACACCTTTGCAAGGCAGTGTACATTCCATGCCAGTATTGGTATTCTGTCTAGTTCTATACTACAGCTTTCCATTCTTTTTTTGTATGAAGGGTATTTGCTATTATTTTCTCCATTACTGATTTGACTAAGATTTGATTGACCAGAACTTTTCTGCACCCCTGCCTACAATTCTCTTCATTCTTAAGCCTGTTGAAGTAATTCTTCCACCTGTTTTATAACTTCCCTGACTCAGAAATCTTCCTAGAGTTGTATGTGGGATAATTCCTTGGTTGTTGCAAACATAATCTTATGGTTTGAGACGCACAATATCTGTGAGTGGGGGTTTTTTGTTTGTTTTTTCCGTTTTTGGTTTCTTTGGTTTGTGGGGAAGCAAAGCTAGATAAGATTTACCCCAGTGCCATTCTATGAGGCCCTGATGGGCAGGGTTTGAAAATAAGAATGTAAGGAAGATACATACTAACTTGGGTAAAAAAGATAGCCAAAAAAGAAACAAATGTCTGGCCACTCAGGCAACATCAGCACTACTAGTACACATCCCAAGCAAGGATAAATGGGAAAGGGTGGCATTTGATAGGCAGCCAGGCATAAGAATGGGGCCAAATTTAAAGTGTAAAGGCTGCATAAGTGTAAAAAGAAAAACAAAACAAATGCGACTCCAGCAGGTATATTTTAAGAAAAACACTATGAGTTGGCAAAATTGTATTTTGTTCCTAGTAGCTGCTGATTCCTGTTTGTTATATGCATTTGGAAATTATTTTAAGCGCATATTGAATGCTCCTGATTTTTTACCTACCTTGCATCTTTTGTAGCCATTAGCAATAAAATGGAGGTAAAAGATTACAGTCAGTGGGAGCTAGTAAAGATTTCTGGTTTTGCAGAATTTTAACTCCTTTTGCACCGTTGTTAACCATTATGCAAGGTGAAGATGAACTTGGATAAATACTGGAGAATCAGTCCAGTGTCACTATTTCATTTTCAGTGATTATATAGTTTATCAAATACTTTTCTACAGTATATATTATACACCTTTCAGTACAATTGTAGGGATGCAGTATATGTTAAGAATATAGTGAAATCTTCATTAAGTAAGCAGGCAGATTCTAAGTATTTTGAGTTGGGTAATATGAAATCAGCTTTCTGGAAAGCAACGTGGAGTGTGTGAAGCACATCATCTTGTAATCGGATTCTAAAAGAAAACACACTATGATAGTGCAGTGCAGAAAATCAAAGATTGCCATTCCCACTGAGCTAATGATATTGATGATGATATGTTTAATTTAAGTAGGATGATCAGCTTGAAGTTTTGCTGTTCATAATTATAACAAGCTGCCAGTGTTTGCCTGAAGCTGTTAGCAAGATTTTGACCCTGCTGGGAAAGAATTAAGAAGGTTTGGCTGACTCATTGTGGCAGGTGGCTCATTACTTCACCTGGATATAAGCAAAGTGGGAAGTGCTTTTATAGAGAAAAAGAGAAGATTGAGGATAATTAGTTCTGAAGTAGAAAGTTTGGGGTAGTCAGGTCTGGATTTGAAGTATGAATTAAACTTTGTGTTGTTTATTAACATTTCTGTTTAACATAAAATGAAGGGGGGAGGTAACTTGGGGTTTTTTTATGAGGAACAGACTGTATTTGAGAGGAGGTTGGTTACTGGAGCCCCAAAATTTGGGGCTCCCCACTACAGAAAGGATGTAGACTAATTGTAGAGAGCCCAGTAAAGGATAATACAAATGGTTAGGGGCCTGGGGGACATGATTTATGAGAAGAGCCTGAAGGAACTGGGCTTATTTATTCTGCAGAAGAGAAGACTGAGGTGGGATTTAATAGAAGCCTTCAATTACCTGCAGGCTGGTTCCAAAGAGGATGGAGCTGGACTGGTCTCAGTGGTGGCAGATGACAAAACAGGAAGCAATGGTGTCAAGTTGCAACAAGGGAATATGTTAGATATTAGGAAAACATTCTTAGTAGGAGGGTAGTAAAACAGGTTACCCAGAGAGGTTATGAAATCTCCATCCTTGGAGGTTTTTTAGACCCAGCTAGACAAAAGCCTTGGCTGGGAAGATACAGTTGTGGATGGTCCTGTTTTGAGCAGGGGATTGGACTAGATGATTGAAGTACCTTCCAACCCTCATTTTCTATCATACTGTGAAATTAAATTAAAAAAAGAGAAACCAAAGATCAGATTTTCATATGGAATTGCTGAGTACCTCAAATAAACAAGGGTAAAGTGTTACTTCTGGAGGTAAAATCATCCCAGTGTTTTGCTGGTGAATCCTAATGGGCCATTCTTAACTTCCCTGGGTAGCACCCCCAGTTTGTTACATCATTTAAAATGGATACAAAACCTGCTTCAGGGAATAGGGGAGAGGGGGGAGAGGTGAAAAATACCAATCTTACCATACATACATGGTTTTCTCTATTTTCTAAGCTAACCAAATTTCTGAGCCTGCTCAGCTTCTATCTATGAGTCTGTGCTTAGAAAGAGAAAAAGCAAGGGTTCAATTCTGCTGTGTGTTAAATCACTGGATCTGGAGCAACTGACTATAAAATAATGGGGTTATTCTAGATGTGTATGTATGTAAATTGGTAAAATTAGTCTGTTTGTATACAAAAATGTACTCCCATGGAAAAAGTCAAAGGTGCATAGCTTCAAATCAAGTATTTCTTAGCGCCGGTACAACATCCAGTTAAAATGTTCCCCCTTCCACTAGAAATGAACTTGCGTGTGAGAAATGCAATCTCATTTAAATTATATCTCAGCTTGAAGGGAAGATGAGTTTGTTTTATATAGCAGTCGGAGGTTCTCAGAAAAATCCGTCAGTCAGTTACCAGAGTGGTAAATTAAATCTGGAGAGTGAGAGCTCGCTCATCAGTACACATTGATATGGAAGTGGTAAGGGGGGAGAAAGAGAACTGCATCAGGCCTAAGTGTTTATGTTCTTGATGGAAATGTACAAATCATTTCCTTCCTTTTCACTGCTGTCATGGTCCATCACTTTAGTCCATTTTCACCTTGCTAAAGGATTCTGAATGGGCCTTCCTGGTTTGGCACCTAATTAATCTCTCACAAGTCTGTTCTTGCAGCTTGACTGCCTGGGATGCCCCATTTCTTATGTCAGTGACTCATGAACAATACTCTCTTTCTTCTCCCTGCCCTGTTGTTCATTCTCATCCCCCAAAACAGAAGATGTAGATTTCTGCTGCTTCTTTGGGAGGGAGGTGGCAGTTCTCTTATTCTTCTATTGTATAGGCGTATATATCCCCAGATCTATTGTCTTCTTTTCTTCTTTTCTCCTTTTCTCTTTCTCATGTAAAACAATATGATACTATGAGAAATAAAGTGGCCTAAATTGTCAAAAGTGACTGGTGATTTTTGAGTGCCCATATCAAGACACCTCAGAAGGTCCCAATTATCAGAAAGTGCTAAGCAACCACTTTCTGAAACTGGACTACTTATACAGTACGTAAAATTAAGCACCCTAAAACCACTGCTTGCTTTTGAAAATCCAGGCATGCATATCAGCACACATACTTTCTCTCTCTTTCTCACAGGCATGTGCACCCACACATGCACAATTTTTTAGCCTGAATTCAGCCTTTCCCTTCACATTAATGTCTCTGAAAATAACAACTAAGAAAAATAAAATATGATTTTTTTGGTCTAATCTGTTACATTCTGCTTGATGGTAAGTGCTATATTTCTATCATTGTTTTCTTTTATAGTGAGAGATGCAGATACACCATGCGTGGCCATAAGGATTCAGTTAACAGCATAGAGTTCCTACCATTCTCCAACACCATTCTCACCTGCTCTGCTGACAAGACCCTGTCACTTTGGGATGCCAGGACGGTGAGTAAGCTGCTGTTTTTTGCAAATTGGTGGAATTGTTCAAATACAGTGGTCATTTGAAATACGAGAGAAGTGGAAACTTGTCCAGAAAAGTAACAACCTACATAATGTAATTCTACTCAGTAATAGAATATAAATACAGCTATTTTATACTGACCAAAAAGTTATTACCATATGCTTTCTCTTTGGTGAGCTTGTAAATTTGTTGGTCACCTCAGTCCATGGGCTAATAGGTAGATATTCACATTACAGAAGAAAAGTTAGGCTCTGGATTGTCAGATGTTCTCTTTGTTGGTGAATCTAGGAGACAAGTTAGGGGCCTTGCTGTACGTGCTATATTAGTTCTATGGATAGAATGTTTGTCAGTCATTCTTTGATAAGTTACTGACAAATGGAAAAATGGGGCAGGAAAAATAGAGGACACACCAATGTCTAAGGCTAATATTTTGCTATTCTTTTTGGTAGAATGGCATTCATAATTTACTGCTGACCTTTCATTCTTTCTTAGTGGAAAATATTTCACAGTGGTCATTGACAGAAGATTTGCATCTCTCTCTCTCTCTCTCTTATTCTTTTCTATGGTCATTCTTAGTTAAGCATAAATGGATCAATAAGCATTGCTACAGTATATGCAGGATGGAATGTGCAGTTGATAAGTTTTTCTTTGTCCCTGTTGCTTTGCAACCTCCTGTACTTTGTGGGGTTTATATTCAAAACTAAAGTCAAATACCTGAACGAAATGATAAAGGATATAAGAACAAATATTCACTAGGAACTGAAACAGGAGGTATGTATTTCCTCTCCCATCTGGGGGTGGGGCAGGGGGTACAGAGAGGGGAACAGGGCAATAATTAAAACTAAGAGGCTGCAAAATCTGTTACTTTATCATGGTTTTCTGACTACACTTCAGGAATCCTTAAGTAGCAAAATGAGCTGCAGCCCTTTGGACACTTATCTTCTGCTGCAGCTCTGCTCTGTGGCAGTCAGAAGCAGTGGGCTTGACCTTGCCAGCCAGGCAGAAGCAAGGCAATAGCTTTGGACCTGGCCAGGACAGAGCTAGAGGGGCCGGAGCTAGAGCAGAAGGTAATACGGGAGGGGAGGGGAATGAGTAGAATGAGGACCAGTGTGAAGTCTCCCCCTTGCTCCTCCTGTACTGTACAACTCCCCAACCACAAGTTATGCCCCCCCAGCTGTATGTCCTCCTCCCCCTGCTATACAAGCCATCTTGGGCCCAAAGAGCTGAGTCACTACCTTGTTATTTGAATCTGACAATTTTTCCCCCATGTTGACCAAGGTAAAGAACCTCATCCCAGATCTGAGTAAATGCAGTAATTATGTGAGACTTAGAAGAGGAGAAGGGATATCTGTGTATTTAAGAGTCATTGCTGTAATAGTTATGCACATCTTAGTTGAAAAAGAAGCTCACATGAAGAAGACAGTGGAATATTTTTTAAGTTTATTAGCTAATTTCTGTTTATGGGGCCACAGAAGAAGACAAAATGGATGGTAAATTAATATATTGAGCATTCAGTGCCTCAAGATAAAATGAAGACTCCTTGTTTTCATATATGCTAGTTTCCAGGAAAGTTGATCACAAAAGTATACCTAATTTATACCCAGATATCAGTTGGCAAATTCATTATGAGCATCTACTTCCTTCATACTAAGTGATCAGGCTGTATTAAAGGTGTCTTCCAAGAAAGAAGATAAATGGTTTAATCCCATTAGTTTGGAACATAGCATTTTCTTACCTTTTGGGATCAATTAGCATTAAGGAATGCATTTAAAGATTATTTTAATAAAATGTAAAAATTGCACAGTAGTTTGTTTTCCTAAGAATAAGCTTCACATTAATAATCACATCCTGCTTGTAAGCTATTAGCTCTTTATCATTAAAGGAATTGCTAGTCAGTTGCATGTAATTTGAACAGACAAATCAGCTTTGTATTTTGGAGGAAAAGGAAACAAAAATCTTTGTAATTACTAAGGCAAAACTATAAAACAGCCTGCAGAATTTGGAAATGCAATAAATTAGTGGGTTTTTTTGGATATCACACAGGATTTGTCCCAACCATATGTAAAACATAATCTATGATATCTGCATTAAATTAAAAATGAAGGTTGCAGGTTGTTTTCAGAGAAATAAGATTACAAAAGGTAAAATAGTATTTAGAAGAACATGAATATTTCCAAGTTTTGGAAAGAAATGCATTATATTGTTGGATTTCACTGGCAGCATGCTAATACCAGGCCAAACTCCCCTTGGGATGACTGTATGTAGTTGAAGACACAATTCTGTGGTAGGAATCTCTTTCCAATAAAGCTGAAGGTTTTTATGCCAAGGTAAGCTGTTGAATTTATTTCTTCCCTTATGCCAGTTTCATAGAAAGACAAGTACATTCTGGCATTTCACCAGAATATTTTCATGCTGACACATCAGAGTGAACATCTTCTTGCCTTATGAATTGCAAAGTATATCCAATGATAAATGTAAGATTTGTTAAAGAACCTCAGACCCTGGGAGCACAAGGTTCACTTGCCTGGTTAATTCTGCTCATGATAAGCGAGCTGCCATTCATCTGTATCTCTCACAGTCTGATGAGTGATTTCTTGAGACAGTTGAATTTGTCTGGATAAAATAGAAACCAACCTGAATCTTTACTGTTCTCAGACTACCTACAGACTAATGTTTCCAACCATATGAATAATTAACAAAAATAAAACAAAGGAAAGCAGAATCTGATATTAGTTCACATGTATGAAGACATTCAATGTAAATATTACTCCTACTCCTTGTCCTTTTTGGGGCTGAACAATACTGTTCCATGTGCATCTTTTGTAAATAGAGATTTCCTGTTCTGTAAAAGCTATATGGTAATTTATATAGCAGTTGTCAAAAAGTCAACATTTACTAACAGTCATGCACATAGATGTGCACTTAACTATATCTATGAGGGTAATCCTTCTGACTCCCATGTGACTACTAATATCTCTACAATTAAGCACATACATTAGGCTACCAGGTGTCGCAGGTATCTTTGTATAGTAACAGTTATCAAATGTCGATTTCCCTCTCCACCCCCTAGAGGTAGCCATTAACACTCTCACTGGCATGTTGCATAATTTATTTCATTATCAAGGATTTCCTTCAGACTTTGTCACTTTTTTGCAGGGCAATCTAACAATTTCAAACAAGCGCTTTATTCTTCTCTTTATACTCTGTCTGCAGGAGAATGCTGGCATACTAGTACAAGTGATCCTGTTCCTTCCCACTGTGAAGCTAGCGTCCCTGGCATTGAAATAGGAAGACATTAAACATGTCATATTTTTAGTGTTCAGATTTAAAATGGCTTAAATAGTAGAACAATAGCTTAGCACAACAGTGACCATGTCTGTGTTCCAACTTGAGTAACCCATGGGCTAAATCAAAAACTAAAAGCTCTGAAATAGTGTGGTGTCGTTGGTGAATAATGGAGACACCAACCAAAGGGGGAGAAGAAACCTGGATGGTATTGTCCCAAACCCAGACATTTCTGCCTTAGCGACTTCAAATACCTGTTAATGTTAACACATTTTCATAGCGTTAAATAATGGCTTTGGCCATAAGTCTTTAAAGGGATTTGTATGGAAGCATTCTTCCCTCGCTTCAGATACCCTGATGCAGTCAGGGTATCTGAAGCACTGCAATTGCAGTGATGATGCAGTCTTTGAGGAATTCTTCTACTTGCCTCATAAACAGGTTGGCATATTGTGGGGCCATTTTGATGCCCATAGCTGTGCCCATGGTCTGGAGGAAGTGTTAGTTATTGAAAGTGAAGTTGTTGCGCGTGAGGATGAAGTGTGTAATTTCAGTAATATTTTTAGGTCTGTACTCTGAGTCTTTAAGTGACTTAAGGCACTTGTTATTTGGCTTAATGTTATGTCACTTTAGGGCAAGATTATCTCTAATCCACCTAATTTTGCCTTTGTTCCACTAAGGCATGGCCACTCTCCACAGCTGTTCCACCTAAGTTGAAGTCCTCCAGTATCCCAGGATGCATGGTCCTCCTGAGTCAGGGCAAGCAAGGACACTGGGGTGCAGCAGGGCTGGGCAGAGTGAGCACCGCAGCCCAAGAACGCCCAGCAGCCATGGTGCCTCCTGCCACTACTCAGACCAGTTCTATTCTCACCAGGCAAAGTGAGGCAGTCCAAGTGGTGTTGGGTGGTGGGGGAGGGAGCAGTGCTTCCCACAACTGCTCAAACTGGCTCACTGCTTCCATCAGGCAGAGCAAGCCAGTCTAAGCAGTAGCAGGAGGTGCTGTGGTCACTGGGCACTCTGGTGCTGTGCTGCAGTGCTCAATTTGCCCGTGGGAGCAGTGGGCCTGCCCTGTCCCTAGCTACTATTTTCTCAGGATAGAGAATGTTCGTGTTCACCATCCAATTAGGCAGTGTGTTGTTGGGGGAAGAGTAACTGCCTACTCTGCCTGCCCACTCCATAGTCAGTTTATGGGCAGAAAGATAACAGGACAAAGACAATTTAAAACTTAAAAATGGCTATTTGCTAGATTTTAAAAACAAGCAGCATATAAAAAATTGCACAGATCTCTGAGACAGTTTTGATTTTTAGATTCAAATCTACTACAGAGCTCTGCTAAGCCGATTAATGTTTGTGTGTCTTTCAGTGTAAGGTGTAACAAGCCCTTACACTTAACTTTTGAGACTGGGAAAGAGGAAAATATCAGAAAGAAACAACTAGTAAAGGAAAAAAACTAGTGTCAGGCAAAAAAAGGAGGACACTGGGCTAAAACAGACTGAATTACTAAAAACTTAGAATTGCGGTGGCAGTGGAAATATCAGATCACCTTACTCCTGTTCTTTCCACCCTCCACTCTCCATGATGTGACTTGTAGACTTTTAACACCTGTGGTCTGAAACAACTCATCAGTAAGAATAAGAGGAGAGGGTGTGTTAAGGGCATAAAGGGGTCCCAAACCCTGGGCTTTAAGAATGCTGTTTTCTCA